ATGTTCGAAGTGGCTGCATAAAGAACCCACGAAAAACGAGATGTAGGCCGATTCTGCTCAAACAGCTTTACTAACGAAGTCGTAGGTGGTATGGGCGTGTCATCGGTATGCTTATGGTTGTGCTCCAAAACTTGAAGAGTGCCACTAGTTGGCCGCGCCCCAAGACTATTCCTTCTCCTCTTCTGCTGCGGCTGGACAGGCTTCTTAGGCTCCAGTCGTGACAGCACATTTCCTACACTGCCTGCAGGAGGAAGAACATCCTGTTCGTTGGGCTGCTTTTCGCTCATCCTGGGCATGTTGGAAGGCTGAGGTCTGGGCCGCAGGGGACTATGGCGGGCAGCAGCGAGTTTGGCAGCAATGTTGGACGGCGACGGTGTCCGGTCGAATTGATCAAGAGGCACAGAGAGCGAGTTGGAGCTGTTGTTCTTGCTTGGTGTCTGCATAGGCGATGCATTCGGCCTCCTGACACTCCGCGAACTGCCGCCTGTCAAGTCTCTTTGGACAGGCGTGCCAGCCTTGGTTGCAGCAAGGAGCGCTCCGTTGCTCCCTCCCACGTACGTGTTTACTTCTGGCTTTGTTTGGGTGGTTGGCTTCGAGAAGGCTAGCGAGGCGCCGCGGAGGGCAGCATCGTGGACATTATATTGGGTATCGCCGGTCGACTGCGGAGCCAGGCTGGTACCGCGGCTACTGCGTACAGAGCTCATGGAGAGCCCATTGGACTAGTTGGAAACGTGAATTCAAAAGGGAAAGGGTAGAAAAAGAAGAAGGTCAGAGCATTGGGTGGCCTCGAGCCGATTCAGAACCCTTAGGAAACGAATGAAACGCAGATTTGAGTGAGCGATGGGGTCGAAAGAGTGAAGTGGAGTCCGCCATTTCAAAGTCCCGTGTTCAGCCTTGGGACCCTTGGGAGCACGCGGCCGGATTGAGTGTGTTTGTTTTGGGAAATCCGCTAGCCGCATGCAGACGGACCACTTCGCTGCCTGCCGTCACGTGTCAACGCGGCATAGCGTTACACGCGACTACCCAAGTCTACCAGGCTACAGGCAACCACAAATCTCCAAGATAAAGCTTCCTTTGATGTTTTCCTAGACTAATCTGCTCTCATACATACCCAAGATGGCGGAAGACACAGCAATGCCAGATGCAGCGGCTGTGCGGGAAAACACACTCATGGTGAGTTACAGACGACGCGACTGTCACGAAGTTACATACTAGGAGTGGCTAACTGTCGACTAGTAGGTCTATACCATGACCTGGTAGCATGAGCTTGGACGGGTCTAACATCATCCAGGTATGGGCAAGACGATGAGTTGGACGAAAAGTACCCCACGCGGCCAATCAACGTGCACAAGACGCTACCATTCCACACACTATTCACAGATCTCTTTGATCCACTCATGGACACTCAAAAGAGGAGACAACCAGTGGGCCCTAGGCGACGGGTAGGACCGCATGGCCACTCCAACATGACACCTCATGAGGCCAAGCGAAACATCATTGACCGATTTATTGCAAACTGGCGCAAGAAAGTAGGCAACGACTTCTATCCGGCCATGCGTCTGATTATCCCCGAGAAAGACCGGGACCGGGCCATGTATGGGCTGAAGGAGAAAGCCATTGCCAAAGTCTTGATCAAGCTCACTAGGATTGGCAAAGATTCGGACGATGCTAAGCAAATGCTAAACTGGAAACTTCCGGGTCAATTGCACAAAGCCTCGACTTCAACTGCCGGTGACTTTGCGGGTCGCTGTTACGAAGTGCTGTCCTCGCGCCAATTGAGGACCGAATATAGTGATATGAGCATTGCCGAAGTTAACAATGCCTTGGACAAGTTGTCACAAGTTGGCGCAGAAGAGGAGCAAGTCAAGATATTCCAGAGATTCTATAGGAGGATGAATGCAGAAGAAATGACTTGGCTGATTCGCATGATTCTTCGCCAGATGAAGATTGGTGCGACCGAAAAGACCTTCCTTGATATCTGGCATCCGGATGCGGAGACACTGTTCAACATCTCCTCAAATCTTCGACGTGTTTGTTGGGAGTTGTACGATCCTGAGATACGTCTAGATGGTGAAGACACAGGCCTCAGTCTGATGCAGTGCTTTCAACCACAGCTGGCTGCCTTCCAAGATAAAGTAGGTTCATTCGAGAAACTGGTCACAAGATTCCAGACCGATCCGGACGACAACACATTCTGGATTGAGGAGAAGCTGGACGGAGAACGAATGCAGCTACACATGATTGAGGATCCTGATGCACCAGGTGGCAAACTTTTTGGCTTTTGGTCACGCAAGGCGAAAGACTATGCATACCTTTATGGGAGACACTTTCAGGGCGAAGAGGCTGGCGCACTGACGCGCTTCATCAAGGATGCTTTTGGAAAGAATGTTCGAAACATCATTCTTGATGGCGAAATGATCACCTGGGATATGGACGTCGATCACATTGTCGGCTTCGGTACTCTGAAGACTGCGGCTATCTCAGAGAAGGAGAACAAGATGAACAAGGACACTGGCCAGCGACCGCTGTTCCGGGTCTTCGATTGTGTCTACTTGAATGACAAGCTTCTCACCCAGTATACACTTCGCGATCGTCGTCGTGCTCTCGAAAGCGCAGTCAAAGGCATCCATCGTCGCTTAGAGATTCATCCATATATAGAAGCATCCTCTCATACTGAGATTGAGCCTGCGTTGCGAAAAGTGGTTGCAGAGTCGTCAGAAGGTCTGGTGCTGAAGAACCCACGTTCCATGTATCGCCTCAACGAACGCAACAACGACTGGATGAAAGTTAAACCAGAATACATGTCTGAGTTTGGAGAGTCACTAGATTGTGTCATTGTCGGTGGGTACTTTGGATCTGGCCACCGCGGGGGCGCTCACTCGTCCTTTCTATGCGCACTACTTATCGACAAAGATGCGAAGCACGGAGACCAAGATTACGAGAAGTGCTGGTCTTTCTTCAAAGTCGGCGGCGGCTTTAGTCGTGATGACTACGCCGCCATCCGCGGTCGAACAGAAGGGAAATGGAAAGACTGGGACATCCGTCGACCCCCTCCCTTCATAGAGCTAGGCGGCCACCTCGAGAATCGCCACCACGAGCGACCGGATCAATGGATCAATCCCAGTGATTCGGTAGTCGTCGAATGCAAAGCCTCAAGTGTGGAAGCCAGTGACAAATTTCGCACCGGTCTCACACTGCGCTTCCCCCGCTTCCGCCAACTACGCAGCGACAAGCGCTGGGACCAAGCACTCTCTCTGCAAGAATTCCAAGACCTAAAACACGACGTGGAGCGAACCCTGGCCGAAAAGGAAAAAGAATTCAAAATAGAAGCGTCGCGGCGGAAAAAAGCAAGGACTTCAAAAAAGCCACTGACAGTGGCTGGCAATGAAACGCTCAAAACACCCTACGCAGGTCCCGAGTCGAAACTCTTCGATGGGCTAAGTTTCTACATCATGACGGAGCAGCTTTACCCAACCAAGATGGCAAAGGCCGAACTTGAAAGCCGCGTCAAAGCGAATGGAGGAACGATTGTCCAGCGCGACGCCATGGACAACAACCTCATCATCGTTGCAGACAAACGGCTCATTAAAGTCGCCGCACTGATCAAGCGCGATACGAATAACATTGTTAAACCCGTCTGGATCCAAGACTGCATTGCCCAGAATGAGGCTGATGCGGGCGCGCTACCATATCTCCTTCCCTACGAGCAGGAACGGCATTTGTTCTACGTGCAGGACAATAACCAGTTGGATTTTTTTACCAATGTGGATGAGTACGGGGATAGCTATGCAAGGGACATTGCGGATGTAGAGGAGATGAGAATGCTGCTGGATGCTGTGGGGCAGAAGAAACCCCTCGGGACCACGACGTTCAACAGAGAAGAGTTTTTGACGCAATTGGAGGATCATGGGGAGAGTTTTGCGGGGCTTAAGACGCACATGTTTTCGCATATGAAAGTTTTGTTTCATGTGGATGAGCAGGACGTTGATGGGGCACTGAGAGCGCAATTGGCGAGGAATTATGTGCGCTTTGGTGGGGGAGTAGTCGTCGAGCATGGGGATGAAAATGGCATCACGCATATTGTCGTTGAAGGCGAGCAGCAGGCTGTGCAATTCAACAAGCGCAAACACAAGATCTCAAACATGGCGCGTACCGTGGGCATCGCCTGGATCGAAAAGTGCTGGCATGAAGGCACAAGGCTAGACGAAGAACGATTCCAATGGGCCTGAGTGCGTGGTTTTGTCTCGATGAGTTAGCACTTTCTTCCATGCATTACGAATCACGAGATACACGTTTCACGTGGCGTACGTTGGCATGGTACCGGTACGAGATTCACACAGCAACCTACTCATCACGTATCCAATCCAAGAAAGAAATCTCAGGCTGACGATCTAGTCAGCCCGCACAACACCACCACCACTACCCGAGCTCCCCAAGCCACACTCGCACAAGTTACAAGCCCACCCAAACGTAATCAACCACGCACATGCATGATGCAATCCACGCCTACTGCAGGCCATTTCCACACACAGCCCTCCGGTGAAACGATTACTAGCCCCCTCAAAAACAACATCCCGGAGTGTCGTACAGCGGGGCGATAGCCTATGTAATCCTTTGTCTTTCACCGTTCACAGGCCATGCACAAGCTGGCATGTTGCATTATCACGCGTCACGCACCGGACGGGACGGGACGGGATAGGATATGGTGGGATGGGATAGGATAGCATGGTGTGGCTCAGCGTTGCGCAAGGCAAAATCCAAGACAAAAAAACGTGGTGCGCGCACTCACTGCGGCTGCCTTGATTTTTTTTCGTAAGGCGGGCGGGGTGTGAGGCTCTGAGGTGCTTTGTATGTGTGGACCACGTGGTTTTTGGTGCTTGTGCGAGTGTGCATGGGGGTTTGGATGATGGGAGGAATTGGGGGAATGGACGACTTGTGTGTTGGGTGTCTACTGTACGGTACAGTACGGTACGGTACTCTAGTGACATGTTCCTGCTCGACAGCGGCGTTCGAGACCGGGTGTCCACTGCCATGTGTCGAGAGTTGCGTTGACGCTGGCGTTGACAGCAGCAGCGTCGGTAGCAGCAGCGTCAACACATGTATCAGCAGCACTCGTCGAAGAAGATGCCGACACTCCAAGTTCCCCGCAAGACTGCTCCGACGCAACAGGTCTGCAAAACTCGACTACAACAACGGCCCCAACCCCTTCAGCATCACGCGCTCCATATGCCCGCCCAGGCTTGATCATATACGCCAGACTCCTATCATCCAGCACGCCCACCACAGTCCTCGCGTTTCCCTGCCCAACACTACCAGACGGTAATCTAGGGCTAAGTATGTCGTGCAATCTCCTTGCACACGGACAGCGGCGAGAAGGCGGGGGCCACATACGTGTTGGGCCGTGTTTGTATCTCGTCCTATTTACAAGGTCTTGATGGGGCAAGAGTGGTGAGGACGAGGCGCATTGTTTTCCCTTGTTCTCCACTGTAGATTCCAGACCGTATCGGTATTCCCGCCTGGATCCGATCCGTAGGCGTAGACAGGGTGGTTTAGCACCGTTATCAGGGCAGCAGCGCTCGTCTTCGACGAGGTCGAGGAAGGAAGTGCAGCTGTAGTTGTACGTTCGGAATTTGGTGCGCGCGAGGATGAAGGAGCGTGGTGAAGGGTCTGTAGGGGAGAACTCGGAGTGCGGGGATTCGCTGTGTTGGGCAGGCGTGGGCATGTAGTGGGGTTTATCTTCCGGTCCGAGCAGGGCTGTCAGTATATCATCTGGCAGTGGTGGTGCGCTTTCACTGTTCATATCCATTGTATTTCGGTGGACTTTGTTCGCTGGCTCGACATCCAATCTTGTAACGTAAAAAGTACGTGATTGTCGGGATGAAGCTTGTGCCCACTCCCGCCGGGATTCAACGATGACGGTTTCGTTTGTGCGCTCGTCGAGTTGCAAGGTGAGATCTGTCCAGGAGTCGTGGATAGGGCCTTGGTTGTGATGGCGGCGGTAGAGCTGGTCATTTGTTTCCATGGCGTCGGGAGTAGGGTTGGATATCGGAAAGCGGATCAGGTGGTAGAAGGATGCGTCGTCAATTTCCTCGACGTCAAAAATGCCTTGATTGGAAACGGCGTAGAACCAGTCATTATGGATTTCGAAGGCGACTGTTGATCCTACATCTGTGCCATGAAAGCCTTCTAGTAGGAGAGGACGTGTGCGGTGCGGTAAGGCAAAATTCTTATCCAAGGCGAAGCCATCGATTTCCCACTTATGGTGACCATCGTCACCAAGGCCAGTGTGCGTACCGTAGTAAAGATAACGAGCGGTATGACGAACAAAGATCTTAAAACTCGAAGGTATCTGAACAGCATTCACCACTCTTCGCCCATTGATTGATTGAGGAGTGGTGTCTATTGCAAAGATGTAACTACTACTCTGCCTTCTTTCTTTAGTAACGTGGACAGCTAGGATACTGTCACTGTAATAAAGCAGAGAGACGTTGAAATTGCCAGCCGATGCAAAAGCCGTTTCAAGAACTGGCTGAATTATGTTGGAGAGATTTAGTCGCACAGGATCAGATCGGGGATGTATGCCCAGGACTTGAACGATACTACCGTTGAGGATACTTAGAGTACCCTGCTGATATACAAAGCTGTTCCCAAAATCTACAACTCGAGCCGAGAAAGGGTATGCTGAAGAGAAAGCATTTCGTCTATCATAAAGAGCCTGAAAAGCTTGTCCGTAGGTAGATATTCCAGCTCGTGCTTTTTGCACTTCTTCGCTATACGGATGTTGATTCTGAGATGTTATTACCGTCGTATTTTCCATCAAACTGTCGCAATCGTACCTTCAAAGTTTGTCGAACCAGCGTTCTTTCGTCGAGCAGTACTCTCAACTGGTGACATGTCTGACTAAGATGTACAATATCCTCAAGTGAGATGGCCAAGGCGATCTGGAAGAGTACGTCGTAGGGTAGTCGATCAAGCGAGGCGGTCATGGGTTAAAGGAAATGATACCGAAATTGAAATTAGGAGCGATAGATAGTACTGGAGTAGGATTGACACGTGAAGGAAGTGAGATGCAAGTATACGTGGAGAAGATGATGGAAAAGAACTTTGACTAATCGTGTATGGCAGGATGCAACTCTGATGAATGTAAGCAACCAAGGAAACCCAGTAAAGTGACCACCTTGGAGATGTAAAGCCGAGGCCTATAATTGTTTGGACCATCATGAGGCTCTGTTCTGGCCTGTACCACCACTGTATTTTTCATCAACAAAAGGTCCGGTATCATTCGGTACCATGGCCATGCATATGCAACCAAGGTGTAAATAGGTAGGCCGTCGCTTTCAACAAAGCCTTTAGGTGCGGGATTTACAGTTAGATCTGAGGCGGAAACATGCGGCGGAGGGAATATCAGCTTGGCTAATGACTAGGCACAAGGCAGGAAGTCCAGTTGAAGTTGAAATCAATAGATGTGATGCTTTGGTGGCTGTGTCACAACGGGTCCCATGACACCGGTGAAATTCCAAGCGGCTCTTTCTCTTGCCTTGGCAACAAGGAGCCTAGCGCTAGCGAATAAGCTGGCTCAAGATACAGGACGTCACTAACCAATGATGGGCAATGATGCCGGCGCTGCTCTTAACATACCATCTTATTTAGACGTCTCAGCCTTGTGGTCTGCTTCCCCCTAATATGATAGATAGCGAGTACAAAAACCTGCGCAGCAAGCCACATTCCTTTCTAGTTTACAAATCATTCTGTCACTATCGGCAGAACACAGCCTGACCGCCGTCGGGGTTCCACGGGTGGCTGTATGATGCGGATATGCGTGCACATAGCCTCATTCTGTGAGCCTCATGAACCTCTGCATCAGCTGTAGAATAGCTAGCCTGATCGTTATTGGTCACGGGACGCATATGGCACGCCCTATGTATGCATTTTATACGCAGTCGAGAGGTCCTTCATGCACTTCCGCAGTGCGGGCACAACGTAGAGTTTTGGCTCAATCCTGTTCCAAGCCAACGTTGAAAGCTTGCAATGCCTCGAAACCAATAGTTCACATTGAGCAGTGAATCCAAAGCAGCCGGGGACAGGGACAGGGAAGCGGGACAGTCTTGCAAACGCGAGGAGGGGGCATTTATGGAGCAGCCTACTCGGGTGATGCATGGTTCCGACTATACTTGCCATATGCATAAGTTGCCTAATATCGTCGAAGGAGAATGCACTTCTCCATAGAATCTCATCTGGTCATATTGTAACCCCCGTCGTGGCGGAAAGTACATGACTATTCTGCACATCAAATCGTCGCGTGCAGTTTTAACTCAGGATTGGACACCAAAAATGGTTGCTGAGGGGCAAAATAAGCAGGATGCGCATGCTCCCAGTTTACAGTGATGTGATTCCGATAGGATGGTAGTGCCAGGTCGTTGCAAGCCTGGCGGTTATCGAAGCATATGGCGACGGGTTCAGATTGGATCGCCGGTGGCGCAGCAAACAATATGATGATTGTTGGTGCAGTATGCCGAATTGGTTGGAACCTCTGGGTTGTGCGATCAACCTGTGGGGTACACGCAGCGAAGCAACGATTCCTGAGAGAACACAAAACGCGCAAGGCCCGTCTCTTTCTACAGCCGTCGTGATGAGGCTGTGTGTGCTCACTCGGCGGGCGAGTGAATCAGATCTGTAGTGGCATTTGTGAGACCGCGTTTGAGCTTGTGGATAAGTATGGACTTAATGTCTCATTCTTCAGGCCCAGCTCTTTGGCGCTCCTCCTGGTTCCATCCGACGTATGGCCAGCCTTTTGGTAAAGTCGAGAACGGTGGCAAAATGTACCTTCCCTCACAACTCCCTTCGTCGCATTTCAAATTGCACAGTCCAAATGTCTTGCAATAGCAATCCTCCGCACGTGGGCAATGGACCGGTGGCTTACCGAACATCACTACAAAACGTTAGCACATAATCAAGGCTGTTCCCCAAAAAGAAACGCGCAAAGGTTTGCAATCACCAGCCCATTGTCCGCGTGGGCGGTCTCAAAGATCGCGACATTGAGGAGAACAAAACCTCGAAAAAAGTAGGCCCTCAAAGGGGAAACAACGTACTGTGCCAAGAATACTCCAAAACCCTTCCACTTAAACTATCTTCCAAGTCGGTCTCCAACACCCATCTCCTCCACCTCTTATAATCTTCCACGGGCCTCTCGCGAATCTTCTCCTTGGTAGCCGCAAACTGCGCACAGCAACTCACGCCAACATATCTCGGAACTTTGACTCCGGGAAACAGCTGCTCAAATGCCATTTTGTAGGAACCGCCCGCATGAACTGCGGCTCGGTGCTCGCCCTCTTCTTCGTACGGTTTGATCTCGCGTGGACAGCCTAGCGTCCAGGCACAGCGGATGTTGACGTAACCCTCTGATTCGAGGTAGGGCAGCTGGAAGCGGCGCAGCATGGGGAGGCCGTCGTAGTCTGGGTCGTCGTTGTGCCACTGGTAGCGAGTGGGATGGATGAAGAGAATGTTGTCGGGGAGATTATCGTAGTGGTCGCGTTTCCCGCATTTTTCGGTCTAGGCTTACTGGCCGTTAG